TCGGACGCTTAACCGACTGCGCCACCCAGGCGCCCCAGAATGTAGTTTTGAAACAAGCATCCAGATAACTCAAGTGTATGTGTACGTGTGGATCATAATATTGTCCATAACTCTCTCTGGGGTTATATATAGTGCTGGAATTTTTTTCTCAGACGAACATTCAAGTGCACAGAGCTATATTTGCCCTTGACAGACTAGAATTATCCTCTTTTCATTAAAAAAATCTTTCAGAGCTCACCAAACTCCACACCCGAAAAGCAAATAACCCAGTGAAGAAATGGGCAGAAAACATGAATAGACACTTCTCTAAAGGGAGACATCCGATGGCCAACGGGCACATGAAAGATGTTCAGCGTCATCGCCCTTATCAGGGAAATACAATCAAAACCACACTCAGATATCTCACGCCAGTCAGAGGCCAAATGAACAAATCAGAGAATTATAGATGCTGGAGAGGATGTGGAGAAACGAACCCTCTTGCACCTGTTGGTGGGAAGCACAGGCAAATTGGTGCAGCATCTGGAAAACAGTATTGGAGTTCCTCAGAAAATTAAAAATAGACCTACCCTATGACCCCAGCAATAGCACTGCTAGAGGAATTTATCCAGGGACAGCACAGGATTACTGATGCATAAGGGCACTGCACCCACTGCTAATATTCATGGCAGCACTCTCAACAATAGCCCAAATTATGGAAGAGCTAAATGTCCATCAACTGATGGTGAATGGATAAAATTGTGGGGTAGTTTATATACACAATGTGAGTACTAATGCATTAATGAGAAAAAAAATGAAATATGGCCTTTTGTAGCTGGATGGAAACCTGGCAGAGTGTGATGCTAAGTGATGAAATAAGCCATACAGAGGAAGACAGATAAATATATGGTTTCACTCTTATGTGGATCCTGAAAGAAACTTAAGAGAAAACCATGGGGAGGCTCTTTTTTTTTTTTTTTTTTTTAGGAAAAAAAAAAAAAGCATAAAGAGGCTGTTGAGGGAGAGCTTGATAAGAGATCATGAGAACTGAGAACAAACTAAGGTTGATGGGGGGTGGGAGGAGAGGGTGGGTGATGGTACTGAGGAGGGCACCTTTGGGATGAGCACTGGTGTTGTATGGAAACCAATTTGACAATAAATTTCATATATAAATTAAAAAAAATTAAAAAAATAAATAAATAAATAAATAAAATATCTTTGCTGCGTTACTTATTTGAAAAAAAAACATTTAAGTCCTACTCTTTTAATAAATTTCATTAATTAAAAAAAAAAATCTTTCAGGGTTTATGCTACACATAGAAAAATAGGCCACACACATTTCTTTTCATTCTTTCTGAGCCCTGCTTTAAAAAAATCTGCCATTCTCCTTACATGAAGTTGAAGCATTCAGGAAATAGTCTGAACACTTTATACAGAGACACAGACATGTTGATTTGGGAGTTATAGTGCCATCTATAAATTGTTCACAAATCAAACACACATGTAAAGAAGCAGTATTGAAATTATTAAACACATCCATATTATGTTTGTACATGTTTTCCCATTTCCTAAATCCCCAATCATGTTTTTTTTTAGAAGAGTACATACATATTTTTTGGTTAGGAAATGCACGAATCTATTGTTGGTTACGGTTTTATAATCGGCATGTTTGTGCATACATCTGTGACATTTCTGGTCTGGTTAAAGCTGACTGAAACATCGCCACATCTTTTGCTAGGCTAGGGTGATCTGACCTCATTTGGTTTTCAGCAGACTATCCCAAATACTCCCTACTTCACTTCTATCACTCTGTAGTCATTAAAAATGGAAATTGAAATAACGCTTATTTTCAGGAGGTTTTCATTATTCCACACAGAGATCGCAGTTGATTTCTCTGTGTCATTGTCATTGCTGCTGAACACTGGATAAGCAAGGATCTTGGCAGCCATTGCTCCCAACACTTGTATAGAAGGTTCTTTAGAAGACTCCAAGGGAAAGCCATGACTATCTAATTTGACATAGAAGATGAGGAATATCCTAAGTGGTTACCTCACAGGCTCTATCTTGAAGTTAAAAACCATCCTTTATTTCTACCTAAACTCATGTCTTTCAGACATATGACATTCACATATAGTGCACCATAAATCTTAAAATCACCTTTTTGCCCGGTGGTCCAGGATCTCCCATTGTGCCATCCCCTCCAATGCACTTGCAGAATAAACAGCAGCATGTCCTCTCAGCAACATTGACCTTGGCGGAGGGTGGGAAGTACATTACATTTGATGGCACTGCTTCCCAGTCACACATACAAGCTTAGCCACGTCATTCAGACCTTTACCACCGTTTCAGAAGCCCGTTTGCCATTAAAGTGACCGTGCTCCACAGAGTGCCTGCGACATTCTTTAGCTGCTATCCTTCCTTCTGTGGTCTGCATTCTCCACCACATGAGGACTTCAGAATCAAATCAAATCCTTTCGTGCTCTCGAAATGCTTAGTTTAGCCACGGCCAACTCCTTGCATACTCATTTCCTGTTTCCACCCCATCCCAGCATTGACCATGATGTTGTTGATTACCTCATAATTTTGCCCCCAATATTTTGTTCGATATGATGAATGCTGTTTGCTCCTTTTCCCCTTTTGTGAAATCTTTGTATGCTTGAGGATTTAGTGTCCAATGTCATATGGCTTGCAATGGAGTCCAGTGGTAAACACTTCCAGAAAAGTTTGTAACAAGATTTCTAACACACCAATTACACACTCAACATTTCCAAAACACTTGCTGAGGGTGGGGGCACGGGGAGAAGATTCCTCTTTACACCCAGGCTGAAAAACCGTATTATAGATTGAAAAATGTCAGTGACTTTTATCCTGAACATTGTTGTCTTTTGAAAAACTGACAGATTCCACTGCATTTTTATAATTAACCCATAAGATTAAATTTTTCGGAAAATTCAGTTCTCAATAAACACCATGCTTGGCCTTAGTAAGGTAGAATCAATCTTTGTGTTGAGAAGTTTCCCATCAAAATTCTAGTGTGATGAACAATGAAAATGTTTTGTTATAACCATTTAGCAATTGTGCTTCTGTATTATTATATAATGTTCCTTTTCAGCCATTAGAAAAAATTTCTCCACAGGGGCCTGCGTGGCTCATCTGATTAAGTGCCGGCTCTTGATTTTGGCTCAGGTCATTATCTCAGGGTCGTGGGACCAAGCCCCGTGTCGGGGTGCACACTGTCAGTACAGAGCACCAGCTGGGGAGGGGGCAGAGAGAGACAGAGAAAGAATCCCAAGCAGGCTCCACACTTAGTTGTGGAACCCAAGGTGGGGCCAATCCCATGACCCTGGGATCATGACTTGAGTTGAAATCAGGAGTCAGATGCTCAACCAACCTGAGCCACCCAGGTGCCCCTCTATATTCCTGAAGTGATTATTTTTACATAATTTCTGCACTGAACAAATTGTGTTTAAACATCTATTTGTATGCAAATTCTATAGGTGAGAAACAGCAGGAGCTAGCATGTTATTGGAAAGGGTCTTGATGTGACTATAGATTTTATAAATCATCAGTGAATCACAAACTATTAGCCCGTCATTAAGGTGAAAGTAGTGCCATGTAACTCAGTAACCCTTCCTTCTATTGAGTTCATGTACATTTCTGAAAGGGGCATGACTGGAATGCATCTCCCATCGGCACTAGGTTCTAAAAAGAGTTCACAAGGCAAACATCTCAGTGAAGACACTGAAAAAGCTTTTGATCACACACACAGGACAACGTAGGAGGTCTATCATCCCATCACTCGTTCTTCCTCCAACATCGAAGCAGGTTGCTCTTTCTTTGGTTGAACTCCAAATGCAATTGACTCTCCTTTACAGGCCACATTGCAGGGAAAACACACATCTTAAACACTAGAATTATACTCACTGTGGTAAGCTGGAACACTTAGGATCCACAAGGGCTGTGAACACTGGCTGGCTGAGGGAGCAGCGGATTCATCCTCTCACCCCAGATTCCCTCTGGCACTTATGTTCAGTGACTACAATTCGGGCGGGACTGTAGGTGCTATTCAGTTTCTTCCTTCTTTTTTGCCTACCACATTAATTAAACTTGCTTTGACAGATCTCTATCATTTTTTTTTCAAAACACCCTCTTATTTAGGTTGTTCACTAATTCAGAAAAGCTTTTTTCATTCTCAAGTGAAATTCATAAGCATAAATATTAAATCTATATACAAGACAGAAAGTTTAAACTCACCAGCCTTTTCTAAGTAACATACCAGTTGCTTTGACAGTCGGCTCCCAAGGTCCCTCATTCCAATAGTGAGCTGGGTCCTATACTCAAACCCTTTTCCGAATTCAATGTAGAGAAGATCAGCCAGGTCACTTGAGTCGCTGGCTCCATCCAGAGCAACAGTTATGAGGGCATTCAGGCCTATCCAACACAGTTTACTCCGGGTGAGGTGGGTTTGGTTATTTTAATCTGTTTGCATACGTACCTAAATTGTCATTTTAGGAAAACAGTTGCAAGAGGAACACTCATTTTGTTGTCACCTTCCCCCAACCACTCAATGTAAAACTGACAAGTGACAAGATTATCATCAGAGAACACAAGGAATTACATTTTCTTAAAACTAGTTAAACTGGAGACAGGGGATATTACAGTAGAACTTCCAGTTCCCTCATGATTTGAAGTGAGATATAGTGATGTAAAAAGGGCCCAGAGAGCATACTAAGATATACAGGAATTCATCTATCAAAAAAGCAAGTGTTCTAAATTTTTGCCATTCAAAGGGGGAACCTTCGACAGCAGGACTTACATCACCTGGGAACTTATCAGAAATACATAATTTCAAGCCCCATCCCAGACCTATAGAATCCGAATCTGTATTTTAATAAAACCACCACATGATTTGTATGCACATTGAAGTTTGAGAAGCACAGCTATAAAGCCCTCATAAGGAATCAATAATCCAGTTGGAATTATAATAAGAGACTGTTCGACAGTAAGAGACCTCTTGTCAGGCAATTAGAAACAAATGACATATAATCATCCAGAGCTGTAGCTCATAAGCTTTGGAATTTTATAGACCAGAATATTTCAAAGAAAACGTTCAGGGACTGACAGTGGGTTGACTTACTTAGCACAGTATTAATTAATACAAACATGAAATGATAAATATTGATTGATATAACCTTGAAATGATAATGGTAATAACGCCATCATTATGGTGGAGGTAACCATAGTAACTACTGTGCTCTCATTTATTAATAGTTACTATGTGGCTGGGGGTTGGTTAAGTGCTTTCCATGCATTATCTTATTTGTAAGATACAAATACAACTGTATGGGTATGTAGGATTATAGCTGTATTTTACAGACAAGTGAACTGAAGCTTGGAGAAGTTAAATGACTGGCTCAAGTGGTACTTTTAGGTTTCTACCTGGAAAGCCTGATTCCAAAGCCTACTATCAAGGATATCTTAGTAACAAAAACATACTAAAAACATCATCAGAGTAAAGAGCAATCCTAAAATGGAATAAACTTAGCTTTATGAAAACCTGACTCCATTGGGCTAAGTTTTCTCATTTCATTATGGATGGGTGAAGAATTCTTTAGATAGGACTTGGAAACCAATGAACTAGAAAAAGGAAATGTTCATGGACCTGAAAGTTCAGAACGCCTTCTAAGTGTAATATGATTCTGAATTATCTTGAATGAGAAGAAGAGAAGAATGAAGAGAACAAAGTTTCAGGGACATACTGGGGAGGTTCAAGTTATAGGAGAGGAAAGCAGAGTGGCTGGCTGAAATGGAAGGAAGAAAGAAACACCAAAGAATAGGGTGACGAATGTGTCCTGATTTGCCTGGACTTCCCTGGTTGTAGCGTTGACATCTCTGGCTTGTCTCAAACCAACAAGGCATTAGCCACTCTTCCAGGAATGAGAATGACAAGGAGAAAAGGGATGGTGAAGCCGGCTGGGAAACAGAAGAATGTTGAGTTCATCAACAAAGTTTAATGATCAAGAGAAGGCATGCTAATGGATCTATTTATAAGGGGGGAATTTTTCTTATAAGTTCCAGGAAATATAAAAATTTAAGAGTCATGAGAACCATGGGATTGTTGTTTTGCAGGAAATATGCAATAACTATTATTTGTAACTGTTTTTCTCAGGATGGAGGACTCCGATTCTGCTCCTTTCAGACTCATCTAATAAGAAGTCAGATGATCTTGGGGCACCTGGGTGGCTCAGTCGGTTAAGCGTCCAACTTCGGCTCAGGTCCTGATCTCATGGTTCATGAGTTCAAACCCCGTATCGGGCTCTGTGCTGACAGCTCAGAGCCTGGAGCCTGCTTTGGACTCTGTGTGTGTGTCTCTCTCTCTGCCCCTCCCTAACTCACGCTCTGTCTCTGTCTCTCAAAAATGAACAAACGTTAAAAAAAATTTTGTAGAAAGAAGTCAGATGATCTTAAATACAATTTATAAAAATAATTTCAGGAAGAAAAGATTATAAAACCTGAAAGAATAAAAGAATCCCTGGGAAGACTCTAGAGCACTAGATTTAAAAAATTAAATTCAAACTCCAGTCCATATGGATTAGTTATAAAGCCACAGCCACCACTGAGGATTCTTTTCTCTTGGTCTCTTCTTGTATCATGATAATTGCACAGTTTAGAGAGAGAGATAGATTGATAGATAGATAGACAGATAGATACCTGGCCTCAAATTAGGGAGGCCTTCCTAGGTTAATAGATCATGGGGCCAAACATCAACTGAAATCATGTATGTTTAAATATAGGAAGCCAGAACTAGAGGTACTCCTTACCCATATTGAGAGCCATTTAACACTTTTAAAAAAGCATTATGGCCACCATCCCTCTATCAGTCCCATTCAAAGATTCTGAATTTGGGGGGGTATTAAAAATCCAGCTTCTGGAGTTGAAGCTCATTTATTAGTTTTTCTTTGGGAGTTGGGAGAAAGAAGGTTGGTCTTAGAAATCTGGATTTTCCAAGGAAAACTTCATGGAGAAAACTCTTGATGTATCTTTTCCCCATAAAAGAAACGCTGGAAAAAAACAAAAACAAAAACAAAAAAAAAAACAAAAAACCCTAGCCACCCACACTAAGCACTCTAGAGACTTATGCTCAGTCTTCACTAATATCTCCACCTCAGATCATAAAAAAAGTCCAATACTTGAAAGAATAAAAAGAAATCAGCTTTAGCAAATAAAGGGCAAAATAAAAATTACTTTCCAGCTGTAAATTCAGTTAACTTTGTAATTTGTTTAAGATTGAGGAGAGAGAACCAAACGAAAAAGACAAAATCCACCCAGCTTCTAGGAGCTAACTGGGGAGCAGCCTAAGCAGCTGTCTTAGGCCAGGTTCCCCAGAAGAAGAGCCTGAGATATGGATTTGGATGCATACAATTTATTGAGGAAGCACTCTTAGAAGAACAGGGTGAAAGCAAGATAGGGCAAGGGAAGGAGCGGAGCTCGAAAGTGTTTCAGCTGAAGACTAGCTTCACCCTGATCCCATGGAGAACTCTAGAACATAAATTACACCACAGAACTGGTGCCATTTTGAGATAAAGGACCAACTCTTTTTACTCTACCTGCAGCCTAGAGGTGGGGTAGGGAGTAACCTCCCAGTGGCTTCCACTGGCCAACAGCAATTCTTCAAAGGAGAGCCTGTGAGTTTCTAGCAGCCAATAATCACAGCAGCTTGAAGATGGAGGAAAATGCTTGGAAAGGGGGTCTGGGTGGGGCACCAATAGCATGCACTTACAGACAAGTATTTCTATTCTTAGTCAAACCAAAACATGTGGATGCATTTTTCTTCCACTGATCCATACTTTAGTAAAACTGACAATAAGTCAGTCTGGGCACAGGTTCCCAAAATGAAAAGCCCAGCGCCAGTGCTTGAAAAACTCATAAGCACCATGGTTTGTCCCTCTGTGGTCTGAAGGAAGGAACTAATTAGGAAGCTCCAAAACACGAGTAGACTTGTCCAACAATGCACGCAATGCTGAAAACTTTAACAGTGTCAGAAGAAAATAATCCAACTCTCCTATTCCTTGGTCAAGAAGAAATACACTGTTCACTTCTGCAGACACCAAGGGAGACAGGAACACTCTCCAGGAAAGCTCAGGAAGAAGAAACACAGCGATACAAGAGAAAGGGTATGACTTTGTATTCAGTGCTGTTTCACACGCATAGAGTATGAAGGAAAAAGTAGACGCCAAAATGTTTTGAGAGCTCATTTGTTCTCCCAAATGCGTATTGGTTGGCAAATTTAGGGTTATTTGAGTGCTTGAGAACGTAAGAGCCAGAATTAAGTTCTGAGGTTATTAAATCATTAAACACTCCTTTCCCACCTCCCCCTATGCTCAATACCTTCTTTTCTCAGTTCATCAGATTTTTGTTCCAGCTTTTCAATGTCATCATCCAATCCATCTGAAAATAAGAGAACCACCTAGGAAAGTATTCAAAAAGAAAAATGAGTAAAAAGGATGTCATTGAAATCGCAGATTGACAAATAAAATAAAATCAGGTTACCTTTCCTCGAGCAGCTGATTTATTCTGAAATGCATCCCACAGAGAATTCAAGAGGTTTGTGTTGAGAAGAGATGGTCCTTTAACTGTTATATCCTTCAAGCTGTTCAGTATGTTTTCACTATAGATCTCAAACTTGGGGGAATATTTTTCCATGGCATTGGTCACTTGAAAAGCCACACTAACCTGAGTCTCTGTGCCCACCTCACAGCTTACCCCATTGAGGGAGCTGATGGCATGTAAGAGGTCTTGAAGGTAGGTTTGTATCCAAGGCTGACCTTCGAGCAAAGTCTGCCCATTCTCATGAGTTGAGATGTCAAATCCGACCACAACATCCACAAAACAATCTAGGGTTCAAGGGAAAAGTATATCTTATTAGATCCACAAATACCTTTGTTTGGCTTGGATGCCGTGTCTGAATCAAGGTACTTGAAATTCTTATTTCTATTCCAGTTATAAAGTTGGAAAACAAGGAAGAGCATGAGTGAATACAGGAAGAGGCTTAGAATCACTCTTGGACAACCTATACAAGGATAGAATATTTTTTTTAACTGGTATAAAATCTAGAGGATTTTGTAACAAAGTTCTGAAAGACTTCATTTGTGGCCACTGAAGAAGCCATGCAAAACCATCTAAATATCTGAAATTATAGTGGAAATGGTAATAGTCTACAATAGGAAATCCATATCATACTACTTACCAATTAAGGTCGTTCAACAAATTTTAACTAGAAGGGAATACAAAAATTTGAATAGTCATTTAGAAAAAATAAATCATGATTTGTCTAAAGTGAGGACTATGATGATTTCTCTAAAAACAATCTTTGATTCTTCATTTTGTCTTCTTTAAAAAATTTTTTTTAATGTTTATTTATTTTTGAGAGAGAGAGACAGAGAGAGACAGAGACAGAGACAGAGAACCAGCAGGGGAGGAGCAGAGAGAGAGGGAGACAGAGAATCTGAAGCAGACTCCAGGGTCCGAGCTGTCAGCACAGAGTCCGACACGGGGCTCGAACTCAAAAACCGTGAGATCATGACCTGAGCCGAAGCCGGATGCTCAACCGACTGAGCCACCCAGGCGCCCCATCTTCTTTTTGTCTTCTAACATCCACTCAGAAAGGAAAAAGTAAAAAAGAAAAACTCCAAGAGATCCTTTGGGATCTTGCTTAGTTTATGCCAAAGACGGTGTTGCCTTCAGAGCTCAGGCAGTCAGGAAGCTGAAACCTTTGCCATTCCGGGATTCGAGAAATACTTAGAGTTTTGCATTTAGAGTGCTTTGCTCTTATCCCTACTAAGGCCAGGGACATGTAAGCATTGGAGAAACTAGAAGGGACTTGATAATTTAAACTAAGCCTCCGAAAGGGAGTATAATCAGAGAAGGATAAAGTCGTAGGACATATGCATTCTTCTTTCCAGAACTTCAGCTTTCCAAAACTTCAACTTTTTCCAGCAAATTCAGCTGGATACAAATTCAGCAAATTTTACCAGTTTGCTTGGTTAAAAAAACAAAAACAAAAACAAAAAATAGGTGGGAGGGAAAGTTTATTTTTAATTTGCTTTGTTCAGATATGGAGTTTTTCAGATATCTGTTGTGTGGACAAATGCCCACCTACACTACCTCTAGACACACTGGTCCATTGTACATTTGCAAGTATTTGAAATCAAAATGTCATTTTCAGGTTTTAAAATAAGGGCCAGTAAACTTGATTCATTTTTATCCCACTCCCTTGTCCCCTTATTCATGTTTAATGAAAAAAGATGTGGGTGAGGGAAAAATAAAAGCCTTATTTGGTCATCAATTTTCACCATCACATTTGAGGTAATTCGCTGTTATCAAAACAAATCTGAAAGGTGGGTTTTCTTCAGTTTTTCTTTATTGCTTACTTTGCCATATATACTTATTGGAAAATCTCTTCTGCAATATTTAGAAAAGGAGATAAAGAGAAAGAAACTAGTCAAAAGCATCAGAATATGTCCTTTCCCAAATCCCTGTTGAATCAATATCCTTTCATTTCTATCTTGAGATTGCAAGTTTCACTCTTGGATGAACACTGTTTTAACCCCTGAACAGAAAACCATTCAGTAACCCAAACAGATCACAGCCTTCAAGGAAAACAGTTTCTTGTGAAAAAACAAACATTGGCAGCAATGCCAAAATGTCATTGAATGATCCTGGGAACTGTCCCCTCTAAAAATTAAGTGTTTTAACTTTTGGTCTAGATTACTGGAAGTACAAACTCTAGTAAAATAAGTTCCTTGTATTTAACTAATTCAAATTGACAAATGATTCCATAATAATGTGATCGATGGAATGGAATTTGAGAAACAAGCCCAGAGTTGGCAGCTATATGTCTGAATACAATTAGAGTAGACCCTACTCATCAAGTGGGCTCTCATGGAAGGAAGGGCCTTACCAAGTCTACAGAGACATTGGCCCTCCAATCAGGAGCCCTTCAGAGCTAACAAGAGGCAGGAATCGTTTTGGAAAAGAGAAATAAGGAAGGGTTAATTTAGGATAGGAGGAAGAAGGGATATTGAAAAGTGGCAATAAACGCAGGGCAAATCAGGAAGGGAGTCCACAGGGCTGGCCGTGGAGGGAGATAACAAGGAGAAGCAAAACTCTTGTTTTGAGCACCCTCACAAACCAGGGTGGAAGCCTGGAAGGGGGAGGTCGTTAAGTGGGAAGGCTCAACGGTTACTCTCAGTCACGGACTAGTCACAACTCTGTTACTGTTAAATAACTTCTGGCAAATCTCTTAACCTTTTTGGGCATTAATTTTCTTGTTTATAAAAATCAGATTATACATTCCAAAATAAAAATACAAAAGAACAGAAAAGAGGTAAAACAGGTAATCTTAACAGTTTTCCTGCCAGACCTAAAAACTCATTTTAATTATCTGATTTATAAAGAGAGTCCATAATTGGAGTTGATGGAAGATTCTCAGTATTAATAAATACTGTTAGGAAGGTAGGACATATCAGTAAGATTAGAAAACAATTCCTAAATATTTTAAAGGGGAAAGTTGGGCTATTGGCAGTTATTGGTTGGGATAAGAGAGAAATTTGTTTGGGGCCTTTGAAAGAAGGGGTATCTTAGATGAAAAAAGAATGATCTAGAACATAGTTAGTGTAAGAGACCCGGTTCATATATTTCTCAGACTCACTACCTCTCCCCTACCCAATCCAGGACTTGGACATCTGTCCAATGGATAGTCTCAGCTTCCATCATCATCTGGTGTCCCAACAGTGTATGGCCGAGGGCAAGTCTTTGGCATGGCCTTCATCCTCAGTGCAGGAGGGCCATGATGACTCTGGTTCCCATGTCCACCTCAGCTGAACTCACAGGAACTCTGGCTCCTTCCACCACTTACCGCCACATATATAATTCACTGTGGGTCCTGTGTCTGGTTTCCCTGAAAGACTGGATAACACAACATAGTAGTGTGGGAGAATTAACTCTCCTTGAGAGTAACTCTGATCAATGAAAGGCAGTAGTTGAGGGGAAACTGGCAGATAGATACTCTTCTCTATTCCCCCTGATGGACCCATCTATGTGGTTGTTCCATACAGCTTCTTTGGTGATATTCTGCATGACTAACGCACCAATTATGGTTTCTCAAGAAGCTGCAGCAAGCTTAGGAACATACCATCTTGTATTTACTTTTTGTCCTTTCCTAGATCCCTTCCCTTACACTCATTCTTGCTTCCCCAGGACTGTACTCCCAAAGTAGTAGCACATAAAGGATTAGCATATAAACTTTGCTTTGAGCTCCATTTTCTAGAACGCAATTAAGACATAAACCTAAAGAGATTCTGGTCAAGGAAAGTTGCAAATGATCATCTATTTTTGTCCTTACATTTCTCACATTCCTTGAATCAAATCCTCGTATTAATCAGACTAACCTCTTGTTTAACTCTTTTTGATTAATCTACCCATGATGATGCAAACGGGAAGAGGTACCATTGATTCTTTTGCTACCCTAATCACGGCTCCATGAAAAAGGGAGCATTTCCATGTCCCGAACACTGCCTGATATCTCCTCTAGATGGTCAGAATAAGCAGGCTCAAAGAAAAATCGGGAAAATAAGCATGAGTAAAGGTAAGAAAACAGACTTTGGAGTTCAGTTGCTTACGGGAATTTGTCGTATACTGAGACATAAAATTTGAATGTAAATCTGAACCACTGCAAAAATATTAATGTTCCCAAACTAAGGAACTCTTGGTAAATGGTACTTCTGTGAACTGACCCCATGATTCCATGTATTTGTATTTATCAGATCATTTCAAGATACCCTCTGCAATACTCTCTGCTAGTTACTAATATTCTGTGCATATATGGCATGTACTTCCCATTCATGATCTCACTTATCCTTATGAAACAGCATACGCTGAAACTCCTCTAATATTCATTTTACTGTGACTTACAGCAGCTTGTCCAGGGTCTCCCAGTTATTACCATGGATCTCACACTTGGGATTCAGATCCAGGTTTGTCTGGGGTTCATACACTGAACTACCTTAATCTTGTTTTACCACTTCCTGGGTGGTTAGTGTTGATAGGTTATGCAGGTTACAAGTTCTTCTACTAGAAGTAGAAGTGATATTTTCACAGCAAGTGGTTTCCTTAGGGGGCAGCAGCTTGTGGGAACACTTTCAGGACACACACCATGTCTTAAGTTCAGCTATTAATTGGCGAAGCACAACACTTAGACACCAGTCCTGTATAATGTCAGCATCAGATAACCTAGACAACTATAGCAAGAAGACAGCTTAATTTACCAACAACAGAAAAAGGGTTGGAGTCAGACAGAACTACGTTTCAACATCTGTTGTCTGTTACTTCCTGTATGATCTGGGCCAGGTTATCAATATTCCTTTAAACCCTAGTTTCCTCATTATAAACGGGAAGAAAAATACAGGGGTGCCTGGGTGGCGCAGTCGGTTAAGCGTCCGACTTCAGCCAGGTCACGATCTCACGGTCCGTGAGTTCGAGCCCTGCGTCGGGCTCTGGGCTGATGGCTCAGAGCCTGGAGCCTGTTTCCGATTCTGTGTCTCCCTCTCTCTCTGCCCCTTGCCCGTTCATGCTCTGTCTCTCTCTGACCCAAAAAAAAAAAAAAAAAAAAAAAAAAAAAAAAAAAAAAAAAAAAAAAAAAAAAAAAAAGCTTAGAGCGCCATGCTCAACCCTTCATGGATGCTCAAGAAACACTGATTCCTGGGATGCCTGGGTGGCTCAGTCGGTTAAGCGGCTGATTTCGGCTCATGCCATGATCTCGCGGTTTGTGGGTTTGAGCCCCATATCGGGCTTTGTGTTGGCTCAGAGCCTGGAGCCTGCTTTGGATTCTGTGCCTCCCTCTCTCTCTGCCCCTCCCTAGCTTGTTCTCGGTCTCTCTCTGTCTCTCTCTCAAGAATAAACAAACATTAAAAACAAACAAAAAAAAGCAACACTGATTCTTAGTCACTTCTCTCCTATCTCTATGCAGCTGCCTGTCCTTTCACACACACTGAATCGTATATACAATCAGAGAAAGAGGATTTAACTTCACAAATGAGAGAAAAAAGGATCGGGACTTCTCCAAATTTATGCGTATTTTAAATAAGAAGCAAAGCTAGGTGTTCAGGCTCTAAGCCTGATTTGCTTTGAGTCATACCAAACTATTATCTGATCTCCTTGACTCGGGGTTTATAGTTTAAGAAGAGCTGGTATTCTCTAGTATATTTTCACATGCTTTTGGGGTTTTATCAGTGTTCATCCCAGGCTCACCAGTCCTTGGTCTGCAGCTTGGCTACAAAGGCTTCACATTCTTGCTTGCTGCAGTAATGACTTCAAGTTTATCTTCATATAGAGTACTTTTATTTATTTTTACATTCATGACTATTTCCTTTAAAGATAATTTAGTGACTACTTGGGAGTGTATACTCCTGGTTTTGACTTTCAACGTGGTTTTCTTTCACTTTCTCAAGTAGAGACTAGATGGTTCCAAGATAATTTTCTGCCTAATAATTGCAAATGGGTATTTCATCTCAAACAGGAAATTAATGTGGAAGGTCTGGCTGAGATCACCAGACATTCCAAAGTATGGGGATATCATGCAGCAGAATTTATGAAGACAGTAGCCCCTAATTAATTATGCGACTCTTAACCTTTAGCCTACACACTGGGTCTTATAAAAGGTTTGAGCTTAGAGCTTAGGAGAACATTTTGGGGGAGAGAACTGTTGATGTGCTGTGAGGTCTCTCACTACATGTACACGTACACACACATAGAAGGTAACTTCCTCTTTAAGCCAGGTAAGAGGAGCTTTAAGAGAGAGCTAGAAATTCTAAAGAATGAATCACAGGATGGCACACCGATCTCTCTGCAAAGGAGGGGTGACCACACTGAGGGACCTTAACTTCCAGTGTTTACTGGGGCAATGGATATGTTATTGTTTCCCATGGAGCAGACATGGCCACATGTGAGGAGTTGTTGTGGACCCCTCTGATGTCCTGTCCAAGAAGGCTAACTGGAAGGCCAAAGAGATGACAGAATAAAGCTGGAGGGATCACTAGATGCCCAGAGGCTGAGGAAGGCATAAGGCAACTCTGGAATTGAGACATGCTTACCTTTTTCAAGGGAACTATGGTTGAGAGATCCCCTGACAAATGTGCTTTGGTTGGGGGAGAGAGGGTGGAGGTCAAGAAGGGAAGTCTTTGAAGGACCCATGAATGGTCCTTTGAAGGACCCAGATTTACATGGTCACAGAAAACCAATTCTTGGCAAGCATCATCAAGCAAGAACTTTTCTGTATTTCTTTAGCTCTTCTTCCTTCCCTAACCCATTCTGGAGAGGCCAGAAACCATGGCTAGCAACAAGAGAACAGGGTCTGGAAGAGGTGGGTAGAAGTAATAAGTGGGGAACAGTAGGTAAATTGCCATGTGTGGCCTCCTCTGTTGTGGTGGGAGAGCAGTCTATGGGAGGCCGGAAAGTGGAGTAACCCTAAATCAAGTTTTTAGTTTTAGTGGTTACCTTTTGATGGACATATTAATCACTGAGAAAAGGTTCACGTATTTCCTGAAAGTGACTAGGGGCAAGGAAAGAGCTGGCCCCCATGAATAAATTTAACGGATCAGTGGTAGACAAAAATGAAGTGACTTTACTCTGAATAAGCATGACACCTGGGACGTAATTATAAGGTTTAAATGCGCATTTTCTCATTTAATCTTGACAATGATCTTTTGAACTAGGTGCTGCTATCGTTCACATTCTACAGATGAGAAAATTGAACTTAGACAAGTTAAGCAACCTGCCCAAGAAAAAAAATGGCCATTTGAGCAGGGATTTGTAGCCAGGGTGCCTGTCTCCAGAGCTGTCTCTTAGCAACCATATAGCTTTCCTCTTCTTGGTGAAAATCTAGAGTTTATGTTTACCATAGGTAGTTACACAGAATCACAGCCAACCCATTGGGCACTTCTATAAAGATAGAAAAAAATCATCCCTCTTTCAAGACCTTTTTTTCCATCTGTTGGGAAAATGTCAAAACAGACTAATTTTTAAGAAGATATTTACTAACTTCTGCAGTAAAACGTTTCATAATAAAGATATAAATCTTCAAGGCTGTTCATTCTCTATATACCTGTACCAGAGCACCTGGCAGCCCAAAGGCCCTATTGCCAGGCCACGAAAACCCGTAGAATAGTTTACTTCTTTGAGACAGTCTCCAACCTCTGAAACCAAGGAGACTGTAAACAATGGCCTTTCCCTCACACCTTCTGAAGCGACTGCATTCTCATTCACAAAGGCATGCACTCGCAGGATATGGGAGAGAAAAAAAAAAAAAAAAGACAAAGGCTCTCATATGTCCTGTTTTGCAGTCCACGAGTCACAAAAAAAAAAAAAAAAAAAAAAAAAAAAAATTCATGACGACTGTGAAAAGTTCAATCTGAAATCCAGAGGCACAAATCTGAATTCTCCTACCAGCCCCAGGGGATGTAAACAGAGCTTGAGGAAAATGTCAGCAAAGACAGGGAAGGAAGAAATATGAAGCACACAGTAAATACTTACTGCTCTCACCCCCCGAGGTACAGATGTTGCGAACTATCCTTTTCTTGACCTTTGTCAGTTCGTCAAAGTTATGAACTGTCAGTTTTTTATCTGCAGTCCCAGTGATCTGAATGAGCTGTTGGTCATCCACATCCCCAATGCCCACAGAGTAAATGTCAATACCTTTGTGTCGCAGGTCTTCAGCAGCCTGAGCCACCTCATCTTGGGACTGGCCATCTGTGAGGACCAGCAACACTTGTGGGGTACCTGCATTTATCCGGCTGCCCATGTCTGGCCGGAAGTAATGCCCCACCTGCCGGAGTGCGGCACCGATGTGTGTGTATCCAAAGATCTGTTGGATGTTTTCAATCTTAAGCGATATCTCGGTTTTGCCTATGAAAGTTCCTAGTGGAAATTCCGGCCGATAGGTATGGCTAAACTGGGCAGCTCCTATGCGTACTCTGTTGACACTGACATCAAAGTCTTGAACAACAGATGCCAAGAATTCCTTCATCTTCCTGAAGTCATCTGGGTGAATGCTATTTGAGCCATCCATGAGGAAAACAAGATCTACTTTTTCAATTTCACAATCTACAAAGAAGAGGAAAGGAAATAACAACAACAAAAATCAGGCTGTTATTTTTTCTTGAAGCTGGCAAGGTTATGTGTTCATTGCTATATAGAAATGCTATTTCCGAAGACGGTTTCTTATCTTATCATATGCCATTTGGTGGTCAGATTAATTGAGAAGAAATAAAAACACTCAGTTCATTCTTTTATGCCTTTCTTCGGTATTCCCAAGAATTTGGTCTTAATGCCATTTTCTTTTCGGAGATGCCAGAGAATTGGGGGGGGG